CTTTCTTTTTTCTTTCTTTCATAAATGAGGCTTTTTGCTACTCTAATATTCCACCCCCCGCCCCGAAAAGGTAAGCCTAAAATCCTTTTAGGGATTAGATAAGAATTCACAAATACTTTTGACATTTTTGGCCTTTGGAGCATAGTATGTTGCTAAGTGGCCCAAGGACATTTTGACTTTTAGCCTAGAAACTACTTTTCCTTGGGGTCTTCTTTACCCTAACTTCCTGGCCAATTCCTACCTCTTATTCTTATCACACCATCCTCTGAAAAGATTGATCCTTACACTATCATCCTGACATATTATAACACAGAATTTGAACCACTCACTACTGTCTAAAGAGACTATTTAATTTTTAGAATTACAATCTAAGTGCAAACTTTTGCCTCTCACAGATTATTTTTAATGTCTCTTACTAATGGAACAACCTCACTGTGGAGTACCTGCATCTTCCTTTCTTTTCAATAAAAAAAACATAATTACAATTTCAATTTTTTGTACTTTTCTGCCACATCTTCGTATCAGTCTCTCTCCTGCCCATGTTTATCTTTATGTATTCACTTTTAATTACTGATGTTCATTTTCAACATAAAAGGAAAAGAATTTCTCTTGTAGATCAATATTTTTATAAAGTCACATTTGTACATGTAAAACAAAAAATACAGCATCATTTATGAATGTGATTTTTCTGTGTGAATACAGACAGACAGACAGACAGAAGGAGGACAAGAAAGGTGGGTCAAACCGCATGAATCCCAGAAGTCTCAATGATTGGGTTTCTAGTTTGATTTTACCATGTGGTCATGATTACCGAGAGCCATGCTTTGTGGCAAACAGCATGTTCCTAGGCTCTCAAGGTCAGGCAGGATGCCATGACTCAAATCCAAAATAAGTATGCTATTAAAATAGTAATAGTTGAGGAAAATATGAATGTTATCAGTTATCTCTGGCATTGACTCAGCTACCAAAAATCACTATAGGGACCACTGACAGTTTCTGTTTTTTTCATTTTGTCATGGCAAACTAACTTAGACTTTTAGTTTTTGTCCTATGCTTGATTCTTCACAGAAGAAATGGCTATAACCGCTTCAGTGGTTACATCTGCATTTATGGTAAATGAAGCAATCAAGGAGCAATGACTGTTGTGGCTGAGGGGCAAAGTAACAGCTTTCCCAGAAGCATTGTTGTAGAAGAAGAGACTTCGTATCACACTCTCCGGAATGGGATCATGTAGTCACCTACAGATTCAAGCTGTATGTTGTAGGGAGGAAATAGATTACCACAATGCATTAGAGCAGTAGTTCTCAATCGTGGCTTCAAACTGAGGCCAACATTTAACAACTAGCATTTTAAGTTATTGGCCAGGGTGGCCCAAAAGACTCCAAGAAAGTAACCCAGCATAGAACTGGGAAAATGAACAGCAGGCCCCAACCTTATCTAAAGGAATATTGATACCAGGTTGCTGCTAGATGAGGAACAGCTGGTCTTCCTAAAACAAGACTCTCTAAGTAGGCTGACTAGATTCAGCAGATGGATAAGCACTGGGGAATGGCTGGGGTACCAACATCACCGTGGAGAGTAACAGGGATGACAGAGCATATGGACTCCAGTACATGGGAAGGGGGAGCTATGGGAGGGTGCCATTTGGGAAGTGGGTATATAGATGAATAAGTTTATGTGGGACATTCTGTATGATATACACACAAAAAAATTATTTAAAAAAGACATATTTGAGGAGGAAGCATAAAAATTTACTTCATATTAAATAGTAGAGGTGATAAACATTACCAGTGAAATCTACCTGATGATTTTATATCCATACTCAGGTACTAAGGATCTGAGTGTAACCAATTGTGACTGGTAATAATCAGATACATAGAGAGTAAAGACACATGTGCAAATGTCTAAGTGTTAGAAGCATTAAAGATGTAGGAAACAGTGTATTTTAGAATGAAATGGATATCTTCTTTAAAGGGTAAAAACTCATTAAATTTTGTGTCTTATGGGGTTTATACTGAGTTCACCATTGTATAAGTGTATTATTTCAACTGTGAACTTGAAAATTTATAGCCACTTTTGAAAGTGATGTATCCTTGTTCTGGAATGTGTTACTGAATATGTTGAAGCTATAGTGAAATGCTTCTGCTAATCATGTGGTTATTAAATTAAAAAAATAAAAATCACTAAAAGGATGAGTTTTTTGTATGATCAGGTTCAGACAAGGGAAAATGACACTGATTATAGGCATGTGTGCATGTATGTGTATGTGTGTGTATTATTCAAGCTCTCAGTTTTCATCTTCTCCAGGTCTTTTTTTCTATCAGTTACCAGTAAAGCATTTAATTGCTTAACAGAATTATTTCTTTCATTAAGAAAGAGAATATACATTTTCAGTTGCTATCATGTTGACCTAAGAAAATTCTAAAAATCTCTTTAGGAAGTTTTTGATAGAATTTGATATGGTTCAAAAATGATGACTATTTTTCTGCTATGACTAACT